GATCCTCAGATCTCAGCCTCCTGAGTAGCTAGGATTACAGGCGTGAGCCACCAGCGCCCGGCTCTTGCACTCTCTTAATCTACTCCAGCCTTCCTTCCTCTCAGTTCCATTACTGACCCTCTGCCCTAATTTAGAATACAACACTGTGAAACCTGAAAGGCTGTCAGAGTATTTTATTCAACCCTTGCACTTTATAGATATGGAGGCTGAGTCCAAGAGAAAAAGCCTGATGTGCCACACAGCCAGTGAGTGACGGAGGCAGACAGGAGTCTGGTGGGTCTCTCATTTGCTTCTACCTCCAGACTAGCTTGGAATCCTGGTGAAGAGACCTAGGTGTAGCCCTTAGTGCCTTCAGGCTGTCCTAGAGACTTCTTTGGGCCTCTTTGTCTATTCTGACATTGGGAGGTCTGTACAAAGGAAAGACTAGCCTGACACTTGTCCCCTTCCTTCCCATAATTTTGAAGAAATTGCTGCATTTATAGGGTGGATGTGAAACTATGAGGAGGAGAAAGAGTTGGGGTAGAGTTTGGGGAGTGGCAACCACAAGCTAAGTTTAGAGGGCTGCAAGTTTGGGGGTCCACCCTGAGAATCCTCTTTGCATCCTTTCACAGACCATGGTGGTTTTGTCAGTGGTTCTTGTGTCCCTTCTGGTCCTGGGAAGAGGTGCAGAGGAAGCCACAGAATGGGGGCTTCCTGACCAGTCCTTGCCAGGGTCCTGCCAACCAGCTGCCACCTGCCAGAAGTGCATTCTCTCACACCCCAGTTGTGCATGGTGCAAACAATTGGTAAAGATGCTTTTGGACCATTTTAATGTGTGTGTGCATGAGAAATGTGTGTGTGTGTGTGTGTTGGGAATTCATGCTTGAGTATAGGCAGAAAGGTCTGTTGGACATGTATACATGTAAAAAGTGTTATCGGCCAGCTGAGGCTTTCATGACAAACTATCATAGATGGGGTGGCTTGATTACACGCCTGTAATCCTAGCTACTCAGGAGGCTGAGATCTGAGGATTTTAGTTCGAAGCCATCCCAGGCAGAGGAGTCCCCATGAAACTCTTTTTTTTTTTTTTGTCAGTCATGGGGCCTGAACTCTGGGCCTGGATGGTGTCCCTCAGCTCTTCAGATCAAGGTTAATGCTCTACCACCTGAGCCACTGCACCACTTCTGGCTTTTTCTGTTTATGTGGTGCTGAGGAATTGAACTCAGGGCCTCATACATGCCAGGCAAGCACTCTAGCATTGAGCCACCTTCCCAGCCCCGCCCCCTTCCCTCCCTCTCCTGAGACTCTTATCTCCAATTAATCACTTAAAAACTGAAAGTGGAGCTGTGACTAAAAGTGGTAGAGTACTAGCCTTGAGCAAAAGAGCTGAGGGACAGCGCCCAGACCCTGAGTTCAAGCCCTACAACCACAAAAATAAACAACAAAATAAATAAAAATAAATTCTTATAATCTGGGAGTCTGGGAAATCTAAGATCAAAGCAATGGCTGATTTGAGCCCTTGTCCCTGTCATGGGGCTTGAACTCTGGGCCCGGGCACTGTCCCCCAGCTCTTCAACTCAAGGCTAGTGCTCTACCACTAGATAAGAATCTCGTGGACTTTCAGGCCCAGGCTGGCTTTGAACCATGATCCTCAGATTTCAGCCTCCTGAGTAGCTAGGATTATAGGCATGAGCCACCTACATCTGGCAGGGTTTTCTTCTTATCTCTCATTATACACTGGCTATCTTTTTTTCTTATTATTTTCTTCTTCTTCTTCTTTTTTTTTGGGGGGGGGTCTGGTCGTGGGGCCTGAACTCTGGGCCTGGGCACTGTCCCTCAGCTCTTCAGCTCAAGGCTAGCGTTCCACCACTTAAGCCACAGCACCACTTCCGGCTTTTTTCCTTTTGCTTATGTGGTGCTGAGGAATCGAACCCAGGGCCTCAGGCATACAAGGCAAGCGCTCTACCACTGAGCCACCTTCCCAGCCCCTTTATTATTTTTTTTACTGGGGCTTGAACTTAGGGCCTCACACTCTCAGCAGACTTTCTTGCTCATGCTGGCTCTATATACCACTTGAACCATGTCTCTAGTCTGGCATTTGACTGGTTGGAGATGGAGTCTCACAGATATTTTTCTTTTCTTTTCTTTTTTTTTTGCCTGAACTGGCTTCAAACTTGTCTTCTCCAGGTTTCAAACTCCTGAGTAGCTAGAATCACAGGCATGAGCCATCTGAGCCCAGCTTCTGGTTTCTTCTTATAAGAATGCTAATCCTATCAAGAGCTTGTCACCCTCAGGACCTCAGCTACACATAATTATTTCTCAAAAGCCTCATGTCCCAAATACCACTACACTGAAGGGTTAGGACTTCAGCAGAGGAATTTGAGGGAGTTCAGTTCAGCTCATAATTGAAAGTCTATGATGGAGTTTCTGAGTCCATGTTTGGAGGTGGGAGTTATGTTCTTGGACCAGTAGCTTCCTGTGACTGAGCTGGTAGAAGGAAGGGAAAGCTTCTGAAACCCTGGGTTTGTGTTGGGTGCTTGGGGGAGGGAAGTCTTGAACCACGGAGGATGCTGGGGAGTATGTCTTCCTGGTTGATCAAATAAGGCCTCCTCCTCTCCCCCTCCTCTTCTTCCTCCTCCTCCTCCTCCTTGTACTTAGGGCCTGGGCTTTGTGCTCCTAAGGCTCTACTGCTTTGAATCACAGCTCCACTTCTAGTTTTTAGGTGGTTAAGTGGAGATAAGAATCTCACGGACTTTCCTTCTCAGGCTGGTTTTGAACTGTGATCCTCAGATCTCAGCCTCCTGAGCAGCTAGAATTACAGGCATGAGCCACTGGCACCCCAGTGAGGCTATGTTCTTTGTTGACATCTGTACCTTAAAGAGACAGGGGTTGTGTAGGATACCTAGGACTACCAGAGCTGGGGATTGCAGATAACTGTCTCACAGGAAGGAGATTTAGGTTAGTACAGGCCCAGTGTAAGACAAGAGGCAGACCCATAGAGGCCGCAACAGGCCAGAAGAAAGGCACATAATAAATCTGGGAAGACAGGTAAAGTACACATAGACGTGAGTTGGTGGGAAGCAGAGGCACCTGTCCCAGGTTGTGCCTGGGAAGATGAAACTTTGGGGACAGTTAGGACTATGTCTGCCTCTTCCAATCACTAGACCAAGGGCTGCCACCCAGGCCAGCTGAGAAGCCACTAACCATTTCCTTCCCCTGTGGCTTTCCAGTCAGTGTAGGCTGCCACACACCCTGTGGGGAAGCTGCCTCCTCTTCTGCCCCTCTACTCCTTTCCAGGAACTGTGGACCTTAGGCTGACACCCTTCCCATTTTAGTGGGAGGGTTGGGGGGGAGAGGGATGTTGGGCAAGAGGTCCGTGTGTGTGTGTGTGTGTGTGTGTGTTAAAGTCCTTAATAGGAAGTCTGTGACTCTAAAGGGAAGGGAAGAGTAGAAGGCCAGGGAAGGGAGAATGAGATAAGGAGAGGGGAGGCAGAGATAGGAAATAGGGGCTCTGACAGAGACTGAGTTTCATCAGGGTAGGTGTAGGGAAATGGAGGGGATGTAATGGGAGGAGGGGCCGTCGGGGAGTTGGCCCAGAGGAGAGGGGATAGGCGGCCAGGTTGGGCTGGCGGCTCTGGGAGCGAGGCTGAGGTGTGCACAGGCTGGGAGGGGGTCCCCTCTGTTTTGTGGGTGCAGAACTTCACTGCGTCGGGGGAGGCGGAGGCCCGGCGCTGCGCTCGGCGCGAAGAGCTGCTGGCCCGGGGGTGCCCGGCCGGGGAGCTGGAGGAACCACGCGGCCGGCAGGAGGTGCTGCAGGACCAGCCGCTCAACCACGGCGTCCGAGGCGAGGGCGCCACCCAGCTGGCCCCGCAGCGCGTGCGCCTCACCTTGCGGCTCGGTGAGGCCGGTGCCAAGGTGTCTGGTGTGGGGGGGAGGGCAGGTTCCAAGGCCTTCGGCTGCTGACTCGAGCCTCTGCATCCTTGCCCCATCCGGCCAGGGGAGCCCCAGCAGCTGCGAGTGCGCTTTCTCCGAGCCGCGGGGTACCCGGTGGACCTGTACTACCTCATGGACCTGAGCTACTCCATGAAGGATGACCTGGAGCGCGTGCGCCAGCTCGGGCACGCCCTGCTGGTGCGGTTGCAGGAGGTCACCCATTCCGTGCGCATTGGTGAGGGGCGCACAGCCCGACCCCACTCCCTGCCAGCCCTTCTGCCTCTAGCCTGGATCGCTTTGCTTATTACTCCCACCTAGTGTTGTTTTACAGACCTGGCTGGGCCAGATCCTGACACAACTTATCTTCTAGAGCTGAAGGGGACTTAGGATTTACTGTGCAAGAAGAACTGATGGAAGCACAGAGGGACAGGCTCAGACAGCTGCTTAAAGTCACACATCTGCTCTGGATCTACCAGCCTGGATACAGCCCTCATTCCATCCTCTTCAGCCCTGTGACTCTTGGAAAAGCCTACATGTCATCGTCCCTACTCTACATTCTGTGTTCTCTCCTTTGCTCAAGAGCTTCTCCTTTGCCTTATTTCTATTCTTCTTTTCCTTCTTCCCTCCTACGCCAACTCCTCTTCCTTTTCTTTCTCCTCCTCTTCCTCCTTCTTCTGTCTTCCTTCTCCTTTTTCTTTTTTGATGCTGGACCTAGGGGCTTTACCCCTGGACCTGCGCACTGTCTCTGAAGCACTAGAGCCACAGTTTTGGCTTTTGTGGTAGTTTCCTGCCTGGGCTGGCTTTGAACCCCAATCCTCAGATCTCAGCCTCCTGAGTGGCTAGGATTACAGGCGTGAGCCACTTACCGGGTGCCTGACTTGCCTCCTGTTACTTTTACACATATTATACTCTGGCTTTCCTTAGCCTTCAGGAAGCTGGGCAGCCTCTGTGTGTTTTCTTCACTTTCCTGAGACCAAGGACTCACTCAAGCTAGGCTTCTGCAGTTTGGGAGGGGCAATGACTTTCTGAGTCCCCAGAAGTGACCCTTCCAATCCTGCTGCTGCCCGTTGAGTGACTCCTGGCACAGCTTCATGCCTGTTCCTCCTCCCCCCCAGGTTTTGGCTCCTTTGTGGACAAAACGGTGTTGCCCTTTGTGAGCACAGTGCCCTCCAAGCTGCGCCACCCCTGCCCCAGCCGGCTGGAGCGATGCCAGCCGCCCTTCAGCTTTCAGCATGTGCTGTCCCTGACAGGAGATGCCCAGGCCTTTGAACGGGAGGTGGGGCGACAGAGTGTATCTGGCAACCTGGACTCACCTGAAGGTGGCTTTGATGCCATTCTGCAGGCTGCCCTCTGCCAGGTGAGGATGTGGGACATGAAAGATTTATTTGGGGAAAGGACTGCTCCTATGGTTTTATGGGATTCAATTAAAACCATGTTTTAGAGAGTGCAAATTCATTATCTTCTCACTGTACTTTGCATACTGATCTTAGCAACCGCCTTGTGGGGGTAAAATATCTTGAGCAAGAGGACAACCATTTTTCTATTTTATGCGGGTCCTGGGGCTTGAACTCAGGGCCTGGACACTGTTCCTGAGCATTATTGTTCAAAGTTAGTGTTCTACAATTTGAGCCGCAGCTCTACTTTCAGCTTTTTTGGTTAACTGGAGGTAAGTCTTTCCTGTATGGAGTTGGCTTTGAACTAAGATTCTGAGATCTCAGCCTCCTAAGTAACTAGAATTAAGGAGTAAGCCACTAGTGCTCGGCAAGACCATCCACTAGCAGCAGTCCTATTTGGGGGCTGAGGACCAAGAAAAGCTGGGAATGGGAGGAAAGGGGTATAGGTAAATGGATCCAGGCAAACAGATGAGGCTGGGTTATAGGGCTTGGATTATAGGGCTGGCTGGGGCAGCTCAAGGCTAAGCTTACTCTCTACCCCATACTTCAGGAACAGATTGGCTGGAGAAATGTGTCCCGGTTGCTGGTGTTCACCTCAGATGATACATTCCACACAGCTGGGGATGGAAAGCTGGGAGGCATTTTCATGCCCAGTGATGGGCACTGCCACTTGGACAGCAATGGTCTTTATAGCCGTAGCCCAGAATTTGTGAGTCTTACCTCTCCCTCCCGCCCTCCCTCCCATCTCTCCCTCCCATATGAGCTACATCTTCTCTTTTTTGGGGGGAGGGACTTCTTAACTAGCAACCATCGTATTGACACTGTCATCTCCCCCAGCATTTCTTCCTCTCCATGTGTCTAGCTTCTCAGACAGGAAGCCTGTGGCACCTACTTCCTCTTTTCTACTCTGCCAACACTCTATCTAGCAGGTGGAACTCTGGATCCTGGGTTCCCTAGGCTGAGAGCACTTGGTATATTTCCGGGAAGATCATAGTGCTTACTTTGCCTCTACTCCTTGCCCCAGGACTATCCTTCTGTGAGTCAAGTTGCCCAGGCCCTCACTGAAGCAAACATCCAGCCCATCTTTGCTGTCACCAGTGCTGCACTGCCTGTCTATCAGGTAAGAGCTGGCTGAATAAAGACCCACTCTCCACCCCCTATACACCTTTTAAACCGTTCAGACATTTTTTTTTTTTTTTTGTGGGTTGTGGGGCTTGAACTCTGGGCTTGGGCACTGTTCCTATTCTCTTCAGCTCAAGGCGAGTGCTCTACTACTTGAGTTACAATGCCACTTCTGATTTTCTGGTGGTTTATTGGAGACAAGAGTCTAAGGGACTTTCCTGCCCCAAGTGGCTTTGAAATGTGATCCTCATATCTCAGCCTCCAGAGTAGCTAGGATTACTGGTGTGAGCCACTGGCGCCTGGCTGAAAGAGTCCATTTTTTTGGGGGGGGGAGGTCCTGTCATGGGGCCTGAACTCTGGGCCTGGGCACTGTCCCTCTGCTCTTCAGCTCAAGGCTAGCACTCTACCACTCTTGAGCCATAGTGCCACTTCTGGCTTTTTTCTTTTTTGCTTATGTGGTGCTGAGGAATCGAACCCAGGGCCTCATGAATGCAAGGCAAGCGCTCTACCACTGAGCCACCTTCCCAGCCCAAGAGTCCATATTTATTTATTTTTGTCTGTTGTGGGGCTTGAACTGGGCCTGAACATTGTCCCTCAGTTCTTCAGCTCAAGGCTAGTGCTCTACCACTTGAGCTACAGGGCCATTTCCAGTTTTCTGGTGGTTTATTGGAGATAAAAGTTTCACAGACTTTCCTGCCCTGGCTGGCTTTGAACAGCGATCCTCAGATCTCAGCCTCCTGATTAGCTAGGATTATAGGCGTGAGAGTCCATTTCTTAGCGTTGTATCCATTTCCCTCCTCTCTTCATAACTCAGGAGCTGAGTCAGCTGATCCCCAAGTCTGCTGTGGGGGAGCTGAGTGAGGACTCCAGCAACGTGGTGCAGCTCATCATGGATGCTTATGATGTGAGAGAAGAGCCAGGGTGGATATGGGAGAGGTGAAAGGCATGCTCTGAGAGGGTGGCAGAAGTGAGGGCATGATCTTTTTTTGGTGGTGGTTTTGAGGATTGAGTATGTGGTAGAGAAGCACGTTACCACTGCATGGTCAGTCTGGTTATATCATTCCATAGCTCCTACAGTTTGCATATATATGGTTGTGATTGCAGTTTGCTCACTGGGGAGGGTGGTATTAGGATTTGAACTCAGGGCCTCATGCTTATTAGCTGGTGCTATTACTTGAGCCTTGCTCCCAGTCCCTCATAAGTCATTCCTTTGGATGGTTGTGAGGCTTGAACTCAGGGCCTGGGCATTGTCCCTGAGCTCTTTTTTTATTTATTTTTTTATTTTTTATTTTTTGTCGGTCGCGGGGCTTGAACTCTGGGCCTGGGCGCTGTCCCTCAGCTCTTCAGCTCAAGGCGAGCGCTCTACCACTTGAGCTACAGCGCCACTTCCAGTTTTCTGGTGGTTTATTGGAGATAGGAGTCTCATGTTCCTGCCCGAGCTGGCTTTGAACCGCGATCCTCAGATCTCAGCCTCCTGAGTAGCTAGGATTACAGGTGTGAGCCACCAGCACCCGGCTCCCTGAGCTCTTTTGTTCAAGGCTAACTCTCTTCTACCTTGAGCCACAGCTCCACTTCTGATTTTCTGGTGGTTAATTGGTTAAGTCTCATGGACTTTCCTGCCTGGGCTTGCTTTGAACTGCCATCCTCAGATCTCAGTCTTCTGAGTAGCTAGGATTACAGGCATGAGCCACCATAATCTTAAGTGTCAGGTACACACACAGGATGGTGCCCAGCTTTGGGCAAGGAAGAAGGTAACATTCATTTAGCTTTTATTTCATTCTTCCAAGTGCTGTTCTAGTCACATACTGTTCACTACCTCACTTAACCCTGGCCCAAAGTCACAGATAAGCAAACAAGTAGGTTGAACATACAGGATAAGACACTCTACCTGCTTTCACAGTTTATAAATAATTCAGAACCACAGATTTGTTTATGTGTGTATCAGGGCTTGAACCTAGGTCCTCATGCTCTTAATTTGGCTTTCTTGGTCACAGTTGGTATTCTATCACTTGAGTTACACCTCTAGTCCAGCATTTTTCTGATTTATTGGAGTTGGGAGTATCTTGGACATTTCTTCTCAGGCTGGCTTTAAAGCTCAATCCTCCAGGTCTCCTCCTGAGTAGCTAAGATTACAGGTATAAGCTGCTAGAACCAGACTGGATCACAGAATTTTATAACTGGAAGGAACCAAGCCTCAAGTGTTTCTTGGCCTTAAGTTGCATCTATACTGTAGGCCTCACATTTGCTAGGCAGATGATCTTAAGACTGTGGACTTCCTTTTGTGTGCTGGTCCTGGGGTTTGAACACATGGCCTGGGCACTGTACCTGAGCTATTTTTGCTAAAAGCTAGCTCTATTACTTGAGCCACAGTTCCACTTCTAGCTTTTTGGTGGTTAACTGGAAATATGAGTCTCAAAGACTTTCCTTCCTGGGCTGGCTTTGAACTGTGATCCTCATAGCTCTGCCTCCTGAGTTGTCAGGATTACAGGTGTGACCCACTGGTGCCTAGCTTGCGGGCTTGATAGGAACCATGTGAGAAAATGCCAGGATAAATGGCATGTCTGCCTATTAGACCTTAGATGCATACAGGCTGTGTCCTGGTTTGAAATTTGACAAATACCGCACACTTGCAACACCTAGCTAGCTCAGGTCCTGCAGCCTTTGTAGACAGTGGGGCTGCTACGCTAAAGGAGAGGCCTTTGGATCCTGTGTATTCCACTTAGGGTGCTCCTGAGTCCTTCTTCAGGACATACTTCCTTGCTGGGCAGAATGGAAGGAACCCCAGGGAAGCCACGGACAGGATTCAGGCAGAATTGGGATTGGCTGGGGAGAGCAGAATGTGGAATTAGTTGTTTTCATGTGGATAACCCATTCCTTCTTTTCCCGTAGAGCCTATCATCCACCGTGACCCTTGAACACTCTTCACTTCCTCAAGGAGTTGACATCTCTTATAAAAGCCAGTGTGGCGGTCCTGAGAAGGGGGAGGCTGGGGCAGCTCGGGGACAGTGCACCCATGTCAGAATCAACCAGACGGTGAGAGCCAGATAGGATAAGGTAGACAGAAAGTGGGAAGTGGGAAACTTATGGAGGAAAAGATGGGGAAGAGGCACAGAGAATAGTGTAGGAGCAGGGTAATCATACCTTGTCCTTTGTGAGGGGGCTGGGTGTGTTTCTAGGAAGATGGGTGTTCGAATGACCCTATCCCTTAATTTACTAAGAGCTCTATGGTCAGCAGATTTGGGTGTGGGCGGGTGCAGGCACAAGTAGTCTTAGTTTGGTTCTTGTCCATCCTGTCCTCAGGTAGATTTCTGGGTTACTCTCCAAGCTAACAACTGCCTCCCAGGTCCCCATCTTCTGAGGCTCCGAGCCCTTGGCTTCTCAGAGGAGCTGATTGTGGAGTTGCACACACTGTGTGATTGTAACTGCAGTGATGACCAGCCCCAGGCTCCCCACTGCAGTGATGGCCAGGGACACCTTCAGTGTGGGATGTGCAGGTGAGGGCCTCCTCATTCCTTCACCCCTCTAGCTCCCTACCAGTGATGCCTCCTCCTATGCTTTCTGCCCATGCACTGGAGTCTATCAGATATCTCAGGACTCTATCTGAATGCTATGCCCTGAAGCTTTGCATATATGCCCAGGACTTCTTCTTGGCCAACACCCTTTCATTTGTCCCTCCCTCCATGTTGGTACTCAACTCTCTGTATCCTTTGAGTTACTTGTTTCCACCTGTTTCCAAAACTTGGGTTTAAAGGCTATTGGGGTTGGTCAAGTATTGTCAAACTGACGCACAGGTCTTTCTGCCTTCCCCTCCCAGCTGTGCCCCTGGCCGACTGGGTAGGTTATGTGAATGCTCTGAGGCTGAGCTATCCTCCCCGGATCTGGAGTCTGGGTGCCGGACTCCCAATGGAACAGGGCCCCTGTGCAGTGGGAAGGGACGGTGTCAATGTGGACGCTGCAGCTGCAGTGGACAGAGCTCTGGGCGTCTGTGCGAGTGTGATGATGCCAGCTGTGAGCGACATGAAGGCATCCTTTGTGGAGGTACCTGGAGCCTTTAGAAGGGTGGGATCAGTTGGGCCCTCCCACTCTGTGGACAGTGAGAGCTTGCCAAAGATTCTGGTGTGTAATTTGGAGGATATGCCCAGCACACTTGAGATGGAGTGAGTGTATAGGCCTATGATGGTATGCACTGGCTAGTTATGAGGGGAGTATGATTGTCACCCTGTGCATGGCTCTATTTTAGGTTTTGGCCACTGCCAATGTGGAGTGTGTCATTGTCATGCTAACCGAACGGGCAGAGCATGTGAGTGCAGTGGGGACGTGGACAGATGTATCAGCTCTGAGGGAAAACTCTGCAGTGAGCATGGGCTCTGCAAGTGCAACCGCTGCCAGTGCTTGGATGGCTATTATGGCGTTCTGTGTGACCAGTGCCCAGGCTGCAGGACACCATGTGAGAGATACAGGTGAGACCCCATGTCTTGCATAGTGGAAGCCAATTGGCACAGTGAGGTTTGCTGAATACCTGCCTGATCTACCTCATGTTGTGGAGTAGGTGAGGGCCACTGGATAAAATTCCCCAGATGAGAACTTATTGACATCCACTTGACAGGGACTGTGCAGAATGTGGGGCCTTTCGGACTGGCCCACTGGCTGCCAACTGCAGCATAGCTTGTGCCCACACCAATGTGACACTGACATTGGCTCCTATCTTGGGTGGTGGCTGGTGTAAAGAGAGGACGTTGGATAAGCAGCTGTTCTTCTTCCTGGTGGAGGAAGAGGCTGGAGGCAGAGCTGTCCTGACAGTGAAGCTTCAGGAAAGTAAGTGTATGGGTTAACTGTGGACATGATAAATGGAGCTCTGGAAGTTTGATGGGTAGGGTTTCAGAACTGGGGGTGTGGATGAGTTGGAAATCCAGGACAAAGGCAGAACTGATGGCCCAAGTGGGTGCAGCTAGGCCACACAATAGTAGCCTCATATTCTTTCTTCTAACAAAAGTTGGGGAGGCTGGATACCTTGTCAAGGGCAATTGCCCATCTATCCCTATGCCTTGGCCCCTTCAAAAATCTGTTTTCTTCCTCCCAGAGGAAGCAGACCATACCCAGACCATCGTGCTGGGCTGTATAGGAGGCATTGTGGCAGTGGGACTGGGGCTAGTCCTAGTTTACCGGCTCTTAGTGGAAATCTATGACCGCAAAGAATACATCCGCTTTGAGAAGGAGCAGCAGCAACTCAACTGGAAGCAGGTAAGGACAGAGCCTTCTAGCACACTGGGCTGGGCCTTCTTTTTCTTTTGTTGGTCATGGGGCCTGAACTCTGGGCCTGAATGCTATCCCTCAGCTCTTCAGCTCAAGGCTAGTGCTCTGCTACTTGAGCCATAGCACTACTTCTGGCTTTTTCTGCTTATGTGGTGCTGAGGAATCAAACCCAGGGCCTCATGCATGCGAGGCAAGCGCTCTACCACTGAGCCACCTTCCCAGCCCCTGGGCTGGGCTTTCTTTAAAACCTGCTTCTCCTGTTCTGGTCCTGCCTTAGTCTCAGCTTCCCACCTAGGTGCTTATGCTTTTAGATAATCTCACAAACTTCCTTCAGCTCCTAGAAGCTCGCTCAAATTCCAGATTGATGTCAGAACTAGATAAGGAAAATAACTGGATTTTCTTTCATAATTTGCAACCTTTTCCCATAGGACAACAATCCTCTCTACCAAAGTGCCATCACGACCACCGTCAATCCCAACTTTCAAGGGACAGATGGTTCCAGTCTTTGAATGGGAAGACTCATTCATGTAGGGCTCTTTGCTCTGGAAAAATAGTAGGATGGGGGATGATAGGAAATTTATCCACTGTTGTGGAATGGCTGCTACCTACTTCACCTTCCGGACAAGTTAAGGTGTCAGATTTGCTGCAGCTTAGTTCTCCACCTCAAAGCGGGTTTCTCCCACGCAAATATACAATAAAGTCTTACATCAGCCTACAGCTTTCACTTTGTTTCACCTTACAAGGCCAAGCAGGTTGCCCACCCTGGGCCTCAAGAAAGCTCATTTACTTGTTCTCTGAACAAGGGGAGATTGGCTTCTGCTGCTGGCCTACCAACAGCTGTTTCACTCCAGGTCTCAAGTGGACTAATGGAACACTGAGAAAAACTGCCTTTGTTTTATTGTGACCCTTCTTTTTTTTTTTGTTGGTCCTGAGGCTTGAACTCTGGGCTTGGGTGCTGTCCCTGTGCTCTTCAGCTCAAGGCGAGTGCTCTACCACTTGAGCAACAGTGCCACTTCGGGTTTTCTAGTGCTTTTATTGGAGATAAGAGTCTCACGGACTTTCCTGCCCAGGCTAGCTTTGAACCGTGATCCTCAGATCTCAGCCTCCTGAGTAGCTAGGATTACAGGCGTGAGCCACCGGTACCTGGTAACCCTTCTGTCTTGTTAGTTTTCTTGTCTGATCTGAGGCCATTTTTGTTTCTACTCATTTCTTCTCAGTGAACTTTTTTTTGGGTGTTGGTCCTGGGGCTTGAACTCAGGACCTAGGCAGCGTGTCTGAACTTTTGTGCTCAAGGCAAGTGCTCTACTACTTGAGCCACGGCTCATTTTCTGGTTTTCATGGTTAATTGGAGATAGAGTTTTGTGGACTTTCCTGCCCAGGCTGGCTTTGAGTTGTGATTCTAAGATCTCAGCCTCCTAAATATCTTAGGCTTACAGGTATGAGGCACTGATGCCCATCAGAAAGAGGAGTCTTAGAAGGATGTTTACAGAGGACTCCAAGTTGTGGTTTGTTTATACTGGTGTGTGTGTATGTATGTGTGTGCCAAGAAGGAAAACTACTAAAAATCATTCTGGCCCTCAGGATAGTTTTCCAGAGGAGATGGAACGTAGAAAAGCCCCATTCTTCTTTATTTAAATACCCTAAATATATCACAAAGGAACATACACTGCACTTTAATGGTAAAAAGATACAAGTTTATAACATCTTATAAAAACTACCATTTAAAAGTGATCTTGTTCATTTGATAGTCCCCTCCCCCATAGCAAAATAAGTATATTAAAAAAAAAAAAGGTGGAAAGGGCAGGAAGGGGATTGAAGATAAAAGCCCCAGGGCCATGGCACAGGCAGTGTGCGTCGGGGGAGGGTTAAATGCTGTGGTGGGATTCCACTCTTCTAACCCTCAATGTCAAGCCACGGGGCACAATCAATCAGTAGCTAAATGATGACAAGAGGCTATTGGGGGTAGATGGAAAAGAGGGGTGCTGGAAAGGGCAAGCCTGGTAAGACCTGGTACAGGGGACCATCCAGGGACTGGAACTCTTCCCAAGATTTCCCAAGATTAGGTCCTGAGTGCCTGCCCTGTCTCCATTCCCCTCATTCCAAACACACCTGAGGCATCTTTCCAGTGCTAGTCCCTACCCCAGCAGAAGGTTAGGGCATTGGGTTGAGGAGCCTTTGCAGTGGTCTGTCTGTGGTTTCCACAGGGTAGACATGGGGTTCCTGGGCCCTTCGGGTGGCCAATCATTCTCTACCCCTTTGCTCATCTAGACTCGCATCCACTGCCTCAGAACATCAACATCTGAACAAGTGGACCAATAACCTGCTCCTGAGTTCCCACACCTAAGCCTTGGCAGGGGTGGTTTTGGTATAGCCATTTGCACACATGTTCAGAAAATTCCTCCCCAGGCAGGAAGCCAAGGTCTGCAGGGGCCAGGTCACACTGTTATTTGACTTTTTGGGCTTGAATTTGCATTTCTTCTGCCTAAGCTTGTCCAGTGCTGGTACGACAGGTGTGCCCCACCATCTGACCTAGTACATACTTGTACATGTAGAGGCATGGGTCACTCAAGTGTTTCTTTCCACAAGCATTCTCATCTACCTACAAGTGGAAGGGAAGATGGGTTTCCATTTTCAAAAGCACTTTTGGAAGGGTGAAATTCTTAATGTATCCTTCTTTGCAGAGGTGACTGACAAGAACAATTCTGGCCCCAGCAAAACCTTGTAACAGGAAGGGCTCACATGCAGAAAGATGCCCCTGCTTGCAGGGACCACATCAAATGGGAGTACCAGCATAAAGCTATAACACAAGGCAATGAACATTTCTCAGCATCTTCCCCAAAAGATTTCAGGTGTTGTCAGAGAAAAGCTAAAAGGTGCCATGTCTCCCTTCTCTTTCCCTGAAGTACTGTACCCCTACCTCCTTGGATCAGGCAATAGCCAAGACGATGCTGCTCCTGTCTATTCCCCTCATTTTCTGGGCAATGAATACTGCCATCAATGACTATGAAAGATACCATCTCAGATTCCCACCAACAGTTCAGTGCTCAGGCTCACCAGTCTCCATGATTACTAAGACAGGCCTCCCCTGATTCCCATGGATCAGGGGAGGTCACAGGGGTGGGTGGGGAGGTCAGCCGAACCCTATATCCTCCCCATAAGGATCCTTTCTTTAGCAGAAAGAAGTTTCTTATTTTACTTTAGAAAATCCATGTTTACCTACCCTGGTCTGGATGAAAAACCACCCTAACCACTAGACTGTTGAACCAATCTTTAAAGAAAACAGACAAATAAACAAAAACCCTCTGGAATAATGCCCTTCTGTTTCTGAAATTTGAGTTTCTCAGCTCCTACTGGGACTTAAGCACCCATCAGGTCTGGGTGGGAAAAGGCTGTTTAATGCTCAAACTTCCCTAAACTGACAGCCAAAGAAGAGTTTGGCTCAATAATATGCCATCTCCTCCAAGCATACAAACACAAGCATTCATGTACCATACACAAACACATATCTGATCACCTTTTTGGGGGGTGGGCAGGGTAGTGGTATTGGAGCAGAGGAGTAAAGAGTATGGTTAATAAAATCTACATTAAGTTTCTTCCTGTAGTCCTTTCTCTGTGGCTTGCCTCCCCCCTCATTCTTTATTTGTAGGGATAGCCATCAAGAAGAAAGCCAAGATCTTGTTCTTTGGGACCAATGACCAAACCCCCATTTTTTTTTTCTACCTGAATATAGCAATAGGACTTGGACAGGAAGAACAGCTTCTACCACTCAACAGGGTCTACCAATTCCTTCGTTTCTCAAATAGTTATTAGTCAATTTGGGACTGTTTTGGGTTGTTCCTAAAAGGGCATAAGGAAAGAACCCATTCTGACACCTACAACTCCCTGCTCAACACCTCTGTCTAGCTTTAGGAATCAATGACAGTGAGGTAGCCACAAGCCATATCCAAGACCAACTGCCCGAAGGGAAGGGCTTCATGGACCACTCACCCAAGTTTCCTCCAAAAGGCACTTGAGCTGATCCCATCTGGTACTCATGTGGCATTGGCATGGGTCATTACAATACCCATGGTACAAGCTCTTCTCTTGGGGAGGTCAAGAGATACCACTCTTCTTGGATCCAGTCCATTTTCACTTCTCCCACCACCTTTTCTTTTGTCCCTACAGTGTATAAGGCTGCCAAAGTAAGCCAGCCCTGTTTCTATTTTCTCTCAAACAGGAGGTAAGGTGCAGGGCTAGAACACTGTAACTAAGAACTGGACTGGGTGGTGTCCCTGTTTTGGATCAGGACTTTATGCCTTCAGATTACCTGTATCCACAGTTTACCCGCTGAGATTGCTTTTGGATAAACAAACAAAAAAAAAACAAGAACAGAACAAACAAATTTCCTTCCCCAATCATTTCCATTTCAGCTGCCAGCTGGAGTCCAAGGTTGTGGGAGCCATACTTCAGTCTTGGTCCTTGACCTTGAGTCCTCACCTATAACCTCAGCCAAGGGTTCAGGGATTAGCTCCCCTACCCAGGAATGCTGTAGGAACGTCCCCGAGATTCATAAAGTCTCAGATTATTTACAGAGCTGAGGTTCTGGAACTACTGTCCCGATGCTCTCTTCTGATCTCCTGAGTCCAACCTCCAGGAGGGGGACAAGTTCAGACGGGGCGGCGGCGGCGGTGGCGGGACCATCAGACCAGAGGGGGTGTACTCTTCAGTAAATTCTTCTGATAATTCCCACCACCCAGGGCCCCTTGCACCTATAGTGCAAACTGCCCGTCAGAAGTCTTGGACTGGCAGCCTTGGCACATCCGTTTGTGTCTGAGTAATCGATCTGTCCGAGAAAAACACTGAGAAGAAAGGGAGGGACTCAGATGCCAGTCATCTAGCTCCTTCCCACACAGAAGGTACATGTCGTATAGTGGTTTAGAATGCAGGTTCTAAAGCCAGAGTGCCTGGCTCCAAATCCTGATTCTATTACTTACTACTTGTGTGACTCTGGTAAATTATTTTTAATGGTCCTGAATTTGTCCACTAATCTGTAGGAATAGAATAAATGTAACTACTCACAGTGTAGCTGCTTCATTCATCAACTAATAGCTATTTCATTGGGGATGGCAACTCATGCCTGTAATCCTAGCTACTTAGGAAGCTGAGATTCACAGGATCACAGTCCAAGGCCAATTGGCAGAAAAATCAGAGACTTTACCTCCAAAATAAATCAGCAAAAAGCTGGGCTGGAGCCAGGCACTGGTGGCTTATGCCTGTAATCCTAGCTACTCACGCGGCTGAGACCTGAGGATCACAGTTCAAAGCCAGCCAGGGCAGGAAAGTCCGTGAGACAGTTTATCTCCAAAAATAATCATCAGAAAACTGAAGTGGTACTGTAGCTCAAGTGGTAGAGTGCTACCTTTGAGCTGAAGAGCTCAGGGACAGTGCCCAGGCCCAGGGTTCAAACCCATGATGGCCAAAAAAAAAGCTGGGCTGGAGGTATGGATCCAACGGTAAAGCACCAGCCAAGCAAGCAAGTCGAGTAACTACGAGGCCTTGAATTCAAATCCTGGTACAAAAAGGAAAAAAGATTGGGGCTGGGAAGGTAACTCAGTGGTAGAGTGATTGCCTTGCATGCATGAGGCCCTGGGTTCGATTCCTCAGCACCATATAAGCAAAAAGAAAAAAGCCAGAAGTGGTGCTGTGGCTTAAGTGGTAGAATGCTAGCCTTGAGCTGAAGAGCTGAGGGACAGCGCCCAGGCCCAGAGTTCAGGCCACACGACTGGACCCCCCACACCCTCCCCCCCCAAAAAAAAAAGAAGGAAAAAAAGCCATTTTACAGATGCAACAAGGGCTTGCTAGGCAAATGCTCTATCACTCAACTCTAATTCTAGTCCCTCACCAAATAGTTTGAACCCTGGGCCTGGGCACTGTCCCTGAGCTGAGCTACAGTACCACATAGCTACTGGGCACGTGGAAAGGGTGGAGATAACCAGGAAAAAAAAGGGTGGAGATAACCAGAGGGACAGTCGTCCTCCTCATGGATTTTATTTTTTTTAAAAACAGAATCTCACTTTATAGTCCAGGACTGTTTTTCTTTTGTTGGTTGGTCATAGGGCCTGAACTCTGGGCCTGGGCACTGTCCCTCAGCTCTTCAGCTCAAGACAAGTGCTCTACCACTTGAACCACAGTGCCACTTCTGGTTTTCTGGAGGTTAAACGGAGATAAGAGTCTCTTGGACTTTCCTGCCTGGGCTGGCTCTGAACTGAGATCCTCAAATCTCAGCCTCCTGAGTAGCTAGCATTACAGGAGTGAGTCACCAGTGCCAGGCCTCCAGGGCTGTCTGTAAACTTACTATCCTCCTGTCAGTGCTGAGACTAGAGATGTGTGCCCCCACATCCAGCTCCACAACTTTCATTTACTGAAATGTTTTTGAAGATTCAATGCAAATATGGAACAAAGCCTGAGACACAGCAAAGCATCAACCAAGGGTTATCTACTACCATTCCTTATCGCTAGTTCTTGTTTTAGTTTTTATATATTCTCATCATATCAGATACTGACCCTTAGGGCAAAGAAGATTATATCTCTTCCTTCAAAGCAGGACTGAATAACCAGCTCTGTGTCCTTGATTTGCTGTGTCTCAAAACTCAAAACCTCTCCAAATCTCACAATATGGGAAATGGGGACAACAAAGCCATAGTTAAGTGACCACTGATACCCCCACCAAAATCTAATGTAACGTATGTCCTCCTCATAGTACCCAACACAGAGTATGTGCCTAAGAAATGCTCTTATGGCCGGGTGCAGGTGGCTCATGCCTGTAATCCTAGCCACTCAGGAGGCTGAGATCTGAGGACTGTGGTTCAAAGCCAGCCCAGGCAGGAAACTCCATGAGACTCTTATCTCTAATTAACCACCTGATAAACCAGATGTGGTGCTATGGCTCAAGTGGTAGAGCACTTACCTTGGGCTGAAGAGCTCAGGGACAGCACCCAGGCCCAGAGTTCAAGCCCCACAACTGACAAAAAAATTTAAAAAAAGAAAAAAATGCTAATAATATTTTAACAAGTCCTCTCCACTATGAGCTATGTAAGGCCAGAGAAATATGGTGCACCAACTACTAAGGACGCCAGGTGGCTTCCTTGTCAGTCAGGAGTGAGGAGGAGATGGCCCTGGTTCTTGGGGAAAGTAAAGCTTACATACACATGTGGGTTGCTGCAGAAAATGTCATGTGAGCCTTACCTGATGACAACGTTCACACTGGTAAGGCTTTTCGCCACTGTGTACACGCTTGTGGCGTTCCAAGTGGTACTTCTGGATGAAGCGCATGTCACATACATCACACTCAAATGGTTTCTCACCTGGTTCAGGGAGACATAGAAGTAGATGTCAGTAGGGATCATATTCTAGCTATCTTCCCATATGCCTAAGCTATCATAAATGTAGAGGGGACCCCAAAGCTGCCTGTCTCAAGGATGCCAAATAAAGAGCCATGCAATCTTTCTACTTCACTCACTTATCCTCTTCCTCCATTTTCTTTCTTTCTTTTTTTTTTTTGGTTGGTTGTGGGCCTGGGCAATGTTCCTCAGCTCTTCAGCTCAAGGCTAGCACTCTACCACTTGAGCCACAGTGCCACTTCTGGCTTTTTCTGCTTATGTGGTGCTGAGTAATTGAGCCTAAGGCCTCATGCGTGCAAGGCAAGCACTCTACCACTGAGCCACCTTCCCAGCCTCCTCTTCCTTCATTTTTAATACTTCCCCTAGAAAATAAACCCAACCAGTCAGCTACATATCCATACAGAAACTAAGCTATAGACTGTTCTCCCGCTTTGAATATCAGTTTGCATACAGGTATGAGACTTACCAGTGTGAATAAGGATGTGCCTCTTGAGGTGGTAACTGCTCCTAAAGGCTCCAAAGCAGTGTTCACAAATAAAATTTTTGGGAATCTTTACTTGAAAAGAACCATTTTGTTCCACTACCACCACCTGGGGGCAACAATCAGGTATGTCATGAGGCGCTCCCTCTGCCCTCTTCCTAAAAACCATTCTCTCCTGGGTTCAAGAGACAAAGAACCTCTCTGATGCTGTCTCCAAGTGCTGTCATCTGCCACATTCCTCAGGGTTAGGAGCCCCTCTGGGGAAGGAGGTGGTGTGGATAAGCTGCCTATTATGTCACATCCAACACCAAGCACAACCTGAGTTGGAGCTGGCCTGTCCCTGCCAGGGGTAGAGGATGGTCATGTTCTCCCATATGTACCAAGGGTGTCCAGTAAGGGTAGATATCATCTACTGAAGTGTACTTTGGGATGAAATCAGGGATACACACTCACTTGTTGCAAGGGACCAGAGCATTTAGGGACAAAAGAGGAAGATCACCCATTACCAAACTACGTAAGTTTTGGGGTATTACCCCATTACCTGCCTTTTTAACAGTCTTTTTTGAATGAGAGGCCTCAGCCAAGCTGTCATCATCTTTGCGACTCCGGGACTTATCACTGTCTTTCCGGTGACCCTTTGAAAACAAATTAAATCTAAACTCACAGTCCATCTCAGAACACAAGATGAGAGACCAAATACTTGTTTTTGTTGCAAATGAGTCAACTACCTGCCCCAAAACATAAAGTATTCCTTTATTTCCTCTCCATGTACCCTTGTTTTAATGGCCCAAAGGTACAGAAAGACCTTCCTTAACTCTCAATACCCATATCTTTCATTCATTCCCAGCTGGATCCCCTCTTTCCCTACTTCCCTAATTGGAAGCATGGAGGAATCAAAACCTGGTGTCTCCTGGCAGAGAGTTCGGGCCACCCTACCCCCAGGTGCCACAATGGACTCAAGTGCTGTACCTGACTCGAGCACCTCAGCACATCAGGGCTACCTGCCCGCTCGCCATTCTCGGCCTGCTTGCTGGCAATCTGGCTCAGCATCATCTTCTTGCTGGCTGCAGTGGGAACCAAACTCACACCTGCTAGGCCTTCACAAGCCAGGAGACTTGCCTAAGTTGAAAGGAGATGAGGTGTCAGGTCACCTGGCAGGGCAGGGCACATTCTACAGAACTACCTTTCATACCCTGAGACAGACAAGCAACTTCTGTCCAGGGAATACTCATTGCTTCCTTCCACAGTCTTCCCTAACTCATCTCATCAGGAACTAGTTTCTTTTTTTTTCTTTTTTTTGTTCCTCAGCATTTACATTCTGATTGAGTTAATGTTCAAGAAGTATCTACACTTTTTTGGAAGATGGTGCTGGTACTAGGGCTTGAACTTAGGGCCTTGTATACATACTCAGTTTTTTCACTGTTCCATCACTCTACTACTTGAACAATTTCTATCTTTCTGGTAGCTAACTGGAGATAAGAGTCTCAAGGATTAAATCCTCTGCACCAAGATCCTCAGGTCTTAGTCTCTTAAGTAGTTACGATTACAAGTGTGAGCCATCAGTACCTGGCTGTATCTACACTTTGATCATTAGTGCTGTGGCAGGTGCAGCATGTCTATTTTATTGAAGGTCTTTCTTTTTTTGGTGCCAGTTCTGGGGCTTGAACTCGGGGCCTACATGCTGTTCCTGAGCTTTTGTGCTCAAAGCTAGCACTCCTACCACTTGAGCTACAGCTCTATTTCCAGCTTTTTTGCTGGTTAATTGGAGACAAGAATTTCATGGACTTTCTTGCCTTGGCTGACTTTGAACCATGATCCCTCAGATCTCAGCTTCCTGAGTAGTTAGGATTTAGGTGTGAGCCACTGGTGCCTGGTTTTTTTTTTTTCCTTCTCTTTCCTTTCTTCTCTACTGTCCCTCCCTCCCTCCTTTCCTTCCTTCCTTCATGGTACTGGGGTTTGAATTCAGAGCCTTATGCTTACTTGGCAGGTACTATACCACTTGAATCATCTCCCTCACCCCAGCCCTTTATGCTTTAATTTTCATATAGAGTCTCAGGTTTTTGCCCAGGGCTGGCCTCAGAAGGTATTTACAAGCTGCAACTACCAACAGCTATGAAGGTCTGTCCAGCAGACCCACTCTGGTGGGAGATTCCCAGCTAGACTTTACTCCTCCCTCTTTCAACTTCCCCTGAGTTCACTTTATTTATTTATTAATTATTTTTTGGTCGATCATGGGGCTTGAACTCTGGGCCTGGGTGCTGTCCCTCAGCTCTTTAGCACAAAGCTAGCCCTCTACCACTTGAGCCACAGCACCACTTCTGGTTTTCTGGTGGTTAATTGGAGATAAGAATCTCATGGACTTTCCTGCCCGGGCTGGCTTTTGAACCATGATCAACAGATCTCAGCCTCCTGAGTAGCTAGGATTACAGGTGTGAGCCACTGGCGCCCAGCAAGTTCACTTTTTTTTTTTTTTTTTGTGCTGGTCCTGGGGCTTGAAATCAGGGACGGGGCTTGGGTGCTGTCACTAAGATTTTTTGCTCAAGGCCAGCACTCTATCACTTGAGACACTTCTGGCATTTTGGTAGTTAACTGGAGATAAGAGTCCCACAAACTTTCCTGCCCAGGCTGTCTTTGAACAATTCTTAGATCTTAGCCTCCTGAGTAGCTAGGACTATAGGTGGGAGCCACTGGCACCCAGCAAGAGTTCACTATTACTTTTTTTTGCCAGTCCTGGGGTTTGAACTCAGGACCTGGATGCTGTCCCTAAGCTTTTTGCTCAAGGCTAGCCCTCTATCACTTGAGCCACAACTTCACTTTAAAAAAAAAAAAAAAATTATTGGAGATAAAGAGTCTCATGGATTTTCCTGCCTGGGCTGGCTTTGAAACGTGATCTCAGATCTCAGCCTCCTGAGTAGCTAGGATTACAGGCATAAGCCACCGGTGCCCAGCTTTCAGTTCTGATTGACTGGTACATTTTGCTGGTGCCAAATCTGAGGTTCTCCGTTTAGATTGTCGATTTCCTAAGTATTAATTGCAGCAGATATAAAAACTAAACCATTAGGATGGATTCTTGAATAAATATACAATTTCCCACAATCCTTAGGTCATTTATATGAGTACATGAATCACATTATTTTTTCACATTCTGTGCTCCACATAGTTAAAATTACCTTAAGCAAAGGATGTTTAAATAACCTCTTTTGGGCTGGGAAGGTGGCTCAGTGGTAGAGTGCTTGCCTTGTATGCATGAGGCCCTGGATTCGATTCCTCAGCACCACATAAGCAAAAAGAAAAAAGCCGGAAGTGGCACTGTGGCTCAAGTGGTAGAGCACTTACCTTGGGCTGAAGAGCT